CTGCGCCTGACATTCGCACGTTTTATCCAGGAAAGAAAAGATACATTTCCGTTTGCAAAAAACCCTGCCAGCGTCAGACAACAATGTTATTTAGAAATCGTATTATAAAAAGTCTCGCATTTTTTAAATTAAACCGGAGTTTTTTAAACGGAATTAATTTTGTCAAAGTTGTCGCTATTCCAATGTACCGTGTAAAATCTTACCTGCAGTTCTGGGAAAGACAACACACGGCAAACATTTTGCTTCTGACATCTAAGCAATCGCTGACAGAGGTTGAATGATGAGAGTCAATGTTTTAATATTTGAAATCCATTAATTAATTAAACTACCGCCTTATTAACATCTGTAATCCATGTCAACACAATGAGCTCGAATCACTCGTTAACAGCCGTAGAAGAGAGGGCCCTCTTGTGGACAGATACGACAATTACGCTGAGTATTTAAAACGTCAGCCCACGGTTAGCGTTCACCTGAACCTGATTAGACAATACATCCAGGATTTGTCTACTCATTCCCCAAAACACAAAGATGCAAACGTAATTACAAAAGTAATGCATGACACACACGCCCATAGTAGGCCTACTATTATTTTAATTTAAAAACATAATCAAAATGATTCCATTATTCTTCATTTAAATAATGAATTGAAGAAAATACGTTTCATTGGGATAAGAATATATATTGAAATATTCTGTTTTTTTGTTTTAGAAAGTTACCTTTTTTATTCGGGATAAACTGGATCGTAGAAGGATACACTGGCATACTAGTCTCAGATTGGGTTTTTCAAAATTCAAAAAAGTGTAAAGTTTCTACCTTGAGTTCGATCTGAGCCTGTAATACAACAGATCTTCCACGTCTGCCTATATGCTCAGCAATATCAAAACGATTTAAGTAAAGAAGAGATAAATGGACCCAGTTAAACTTTATTTTGAAATATAAATTAAGCTTTAAACTGTAATTCTTCCAGAAAGATATATCCAGGCTGAAGAGGAGCTTAGAAACTAAAGGATCGGTTCCAACTGTATATTTTAACTTTTTAAAATACACGTCGGGCTTTTAATCGTTTATTTAATTAATATACTGTAACTAACAGTTTTTCAAATTTGGAAAGGCCACTGATGAAATAAATGCGATTGATACAGCCCAGTAGAAAACTAAGCGCTTTGCAAATAGGGAAACGTGTGAAATGACCTTTTAAAAACGGCGACCCACGCTGGAAATGGGGAAAAGTGTACGGAGAGCATTGTGTTTTAATAGTTGCAATAACACGGCATTGGGAATGTTTCCGGTTATTTTAAGAAACATCGTGTGTCTGGTTACAAAACAACTTTTATTTAAGAAAAAAAAAAGAAGAACCCAAAATAAAAATAGCAATAGTTAAAAATAAACACTCCCTGTCTGTACAAATGTGTCATTTCTTCGCAAAGTCGTCGCTCGGAGTTCAACAGGCTTTGTAACTGCTGACATCTTGCGAGTACCGTATGCGCCTTTGAAAATAGAAACAGCCCATTCTCATACACTGTAGGAGATGGGTGCCAGTTGCTGGCTTTGTTTTATTAATGGTGTAGCTTTAAATAATGACAGATGGCTTAATCCTCTGATATGCATATGACTGGAAAGCTGATTGGGAGCTGAAGCCGCCTCTGTGCTCGTCTCCATGCGTGCCCGTCTGCAAACCCGCTCCCAGACCCAATGCGTGTTGCATGAATGTGTTCAGCTCGAAACGTGTAACAGCTGAACAGCTCAACGCGACAGAAAGTTAAAACAAACACTGTGCAGAGGAAATACAGACCGAAGACGCTGTAACTAGAGGGGGAAAGGAAACTAATGACGGAAATTCGTAACACTAATAACTTGCAGCCTTGAGTACATTACATCTCCAAGAAACCGTGGTATTTGAACCACCGGTTTCATGGCAATATTTTTTTTTGTAGTAGTTCACAAGAGATTATCGCAATTTACAGTAGCTCCCTTTGAAGCGGTTCTTGGTAAGTGCGAATTTTACTGACGGCATTGTCCTAACGGAGAAATACAACACACGCATTAAAAAAATAAAGCAGTTACAAACACCACAGAGTAATGGCTTTCATTTGTCCGGAACACCGAGGGTAAAATATTCCTGGGATATGCTATGTGGGATAATATTTAAGTTGAATGAGTTTAACTGTGTTTTAAAATATTAATTTAAGACCAAATTCTATTTCAAAATGATCAATCTGTTATCAGATAGGTGCTTATTCATGCATGGTATTTATTAACGGTGTCGTACACAAGTCGGCACCGCCTCGGGAAAGTAAACGCCCCACATGGGGTGGCAGTCCATCGCAGGACGCACACAAAGGGACACCGATTAGCCTAGTTAGGAATCAAGGTATTTTTAAGGAAACCGCAGCGCACTGAGAAACCCACAGCGACCCAGGCAGAACATGCAAACGTCTTACAAAATGCACTCACTACCGGAAGTGAACATAGGTCTCACAGCACCCTGCGGTAGAACCGATAAACGTCACGCCACGGTGCCGCCCATGATAAAAAATATTATTCAAGAACAGAAATATCATATCACCCACATGGCGGCATTTTAATCTGCATAATTCTATACGTAACACAGTGCAAATTATTTGCACACAGTTGACAGTCCATGCTGGAACAGACCGTGGGTACTCAATCACGCAGTTCCATGTTGTTGCTGCATTGGATGAATTAGTACAGGTTAATTCCGTTGGGAAGGGTAAGCAATCCGAAAGCCAGAAGTGTAGCACAATGGCTCTTAAGTGAGCAATCACATATCACATTCATATTCAAAAAAGGCTTAGAGGCTTCTAAAACAGGAGATATTGGCAACTGTTGGCTGTCATAGTCAATTGAACTACAGCTTGCAGTCTACACTTCAATCTTTTTATTCTACCGATTCAAGAAATGCAGAACTCTTTGCCTCAGTTATTATAAATAGGCAGTATAAAGTATGATGTATACATTTTTACATCAACTTGATTGTTTCGCTAGAAATAGTTACTAAAGTCCCGATTGGTTTTACAGTATACTAGCCAACTGTAAAACATGCAATCCCTCCTGATGAAACTAGGTTTCTCCGAGCCTTGGGCCTTATATACAGTATAGATGTCACATCTACAAAAAATGTTTCAACAATATTTGTTTTCCAGAAGTAATTTCAGCCTCACATTACAATGCTGATTCTGCAGTGTTTCTTTTGGTGGTTGCAGTGATAGATGCAGTTATGTTTACCCCTTCTTTGCACCTGTTCACACAGATCACCGTTCTCATCAGGCTCTGTATGCAAAGCCTGTCAGTGGGGTGGGAGAAGGTATGTGTAGTTTAGCCCTTTTCAGTTGACTTCATTACCTAGCCCATTTCAACATTCTCTGTTGTAACTCACATTTTCGGAAATTTGGATTATCATTCCACACCATGAAGACATGAATTTTGAAAGTACACAAACCCTTCTTTGAATCTCACGGAAAGCAACACACAGCCTTGTGGGCAGAAATGGAGCTAAAATAATTCTCCATAAAAAATACTTACATTGTTTCCAGACACCCGATCTTCCACCTGATAGAAAACATTTTCACTGTTGCATCAAGTTAAGATTTCATCCTGCATTCTCTTCAGGAAACAGATAATTTAAGAGATGGGGACAAATATAAACCAGATCCAATTTACATAAAGAAGTCATACAATATATTGTACCTTCAGTATGTTTAAATTGCACTGTGGGCCAAATTACTTTCCAGTTTGTGACTTTACTGAAGTTCTGATTGATTATAGATACAACTCATTTCAAATGCAGGATCTCTAACCTTGAAAAGCAGCCATGTCTGCATTTAAATTAATTACTGCCGTTTCTAAAGGGTATTTCCCACTCCAGAAATAGATGTTTTGGCACATTTGTCATAAGAGCCTCTTTACTTCTATTGAAGAAGACCCAGAAAAAAACACCAGAAGAGAATGCAGCCCCAGTTATAAATTACTAGGAGGTGATTACAATACAATTCTATTTATGAATGCTTTTCAAGGTACTCAAAGCACTGTAAACATACCAAATACACAAATGAGTCTGAAAAAGTGTTGCACAGAGGTGTTGATCGTGGGATCTACAAGACTCAGCTTTTTATTGTATTTTGAAAGAACTATACACTGCATGTAGCCAGAACAATTATCACACAAGATAAATATTAGCAGAGAATTTTGTCATTTTAAAAATACTCCAATATTCTTTACAATCTATAGATATGTACATATAATATACACACATAATCCACATGTATGATGCAGCCCTTCAAAATGCTTTTCCCCTTAAAGGCTGACATTTTTCTTTGAACACATATGGGACTTGCTCATGAAAATTCTAGTTCAGTCTTTTTTTGCAAATTTCCCCTTTTTTGTTAGACACAGCAGTTTCTTCAGCCTGTTTCTTAAAAAACGCATGCCAAAATGGAGACATGCCAGCAGAAAACACAAAGTCTGTTAGTACTTAGACATTACCTGGAGTAATTGAAGTGTTGGCTTTATGTGCTTGTAACAATCTGTCACACCAAGTAAATGCAATTAAAATGGCTAGTTACCACAATGCAGTGGCCTTCTGTTATGCTACATTAGTGCGTACTTGAAAAATAGTCACAACTTACTGTATATAGTACAATCAGCTTCTAATGTAAAAGTGGGGTTACCAGTAAACTTACACAATTACTTGGTTATTAAAATTTAACAGGTGCAGTAACTGAAATAATGTTTTAAGAGATGCATTTTTAATCTTTGCATTTTACTGCAGACTTTATATTTAGGTAATTATTTCACATTATACACTTTGGAAAAAATAATTTTTCAAGCAAATCCACTGGAGTCTTTTTCTAGTGACCCAATAGAAAGAATGATAGGCAAAATTAAATCATTCCTATACTGCTTTCGGGAAAACACAAAACTGTTGTGCCATCACAGTACACGTAATTGGTACTCGGCAAAAATCACGAATATAACAGATGTCTTGCAAGTTGTTTTATTGGAAGCTCACAAAAGCTTTGTATTCTGTATGTGGAACAACCATTAACAGATGTCTATGAAAATGTTCAAATGAATCTGAGGCATTACGTGCTCCAAGGAACCAGTGGTAAAATTCCATGGTGAAGGTATGAAACGCCTCTCCTAACCGCTCATTCTTACCACCTGATATCAGGACACATACAATTTCAGATGTGCCGTCTGCATTACAAATACTGGGCTTTGAGCAGCATGAATGGGAAGTTTTGAGAGGCTCTCGATTATTAGTTAACATGGAAAACAACTGTTTGCCATCGTGCTTGCTTTGTTAAAAAAAAGAGCTTTTATCCAAGACAACAGATGCAAGTCATCAATTGTCAATTGTTTGGAGAAAAAAAAATACTGCAAAAACCAGCACAGGTGCATGTGGTTTTATAATGCCAACAATATAACTAATGGTCACCTAGTTGACTTTCTTCAGTCCACTGCAGGCAGTATGAATTTAAGGAAGAACTGAGAACATCGTAAGAATTCAACTGCTTCTTCCAAATTCCAACTGCTCCCATTTTTGAAGTCTTAACCCTTGGGTTTTAAAGATTTTCATGTGTTGAAACTTTTTTTAGTGCTTCTACATGCAGTATGACAAGAACAGCCTTAAACCATTTCCCCCAGAGCTCCTTCATTGATTCCTGTTATAGAACCTTATTAAAATGCACTAATTGCTTGCTTCTCTGGGACAAAGTGAAAACCACAGTAGAATGAGCACGGTTTCTCCTGATATTCACATCTAAACCCAACCCTTTTTGCTCTTATTTTGCATTTCACAATTTAAGATACCAGAATGTTTTAAAAATGCTCAAAAGAAACCTGGATAAATGAATACTAGAAGTTGAAGTAAATTTTATTTACTTTCACTGTACATAATGCTTCTTTTACCAACACTTGTTAACCATGTGACTTATTACATGTGTAAATGGTATAAGAAAATAAAAGGCACATTTTTTTTAATAAAATAGAAACACGGACACTCTGCTTCCTAAATATGAATAAAGTATTGTAATACTGTTAATGTCATAAAAATTAAACAGATGTTAAACCAACCTCCATTTTAATTAGAGCAAAATGTCTGCAAATTCAATGCCTTTAGAAAAATACTAAATATTGCTCAATCAAAGAGTTATAATGGAGGTCACACTGGTAACATTAGCATTACACAGGAAGAGATACGGCCATTCCAGAGATGCAATAAAAAATAGGTTAGAAGAAACATTAGGTAACAAAGCAGCATCTGACCTTCTCCTTAAACGAATGCAAGGTCAGGATATCATGCACAGAGGCCACTGACAGACATCTTCCCTTTTATATTTCTTTTTCAGTTTAGGTTTGCGCAAGAGTTTATTTCACCACAATCTGTAATGCACGGGTCAAAAGCGGATTTTTAAGAAGAAATCTTACAAGTCCGAGATCAATAGTTCAGCTCCATTAATCTCTGAACCTGGGTTTGGGATAAGACACTATTGAAAGGCAGCAGCATGAACACTTTTTCTGTGCAACAGCCTTTTATGCAGTATTCTAACAGCCTACAACAAAGCTAGAGAGATTCAAGAGCACAAAGCATTAAAAGGGGAAATACAGATTTATTTTAAATGTAGAAATAAGACCAGTAAGCCACCATGCTTTCTGATACTCCTAGAATTCTTTATTTTACATTTTCAGGTGCCATGGGGAAATTCTTGGTGTTTTTCCAAGTGGTGTGATAGATCGATGAAACCTTGATTTAACCGGATACAGCTATCTAAATTATGCCTTAAATGAAAAGGAGAGAAAAAACAAAATGTGTTGCTCAGCAGATGTGCAAAGTATGCCTTCTGCCCCTGTAGTATTCTGATAATTTGAACAACTTAGGTGGGAAACAATTGAGATCATGTAAGTGACAGGACTTAATGCCCACATTCTGAAGATGTCCAACGAAATTCTCAGGAAAAGCAGTAAGCTGACCGCTTAGCGTGCTTCCTGTCCTATACCCCTAGATTACTTGTAAGTAATGATACAGGGCTACTGCAAGAGAGCACTCACCCTTAAAACCTGGAAACCCTTCCCTTTCAAAGCTTGTCACAAACAGTGCGCCTAATAAATACGTCTGTTTTAGAGTTCTATTGCACCTAAAACGTTTTTTTTCTAAACTGTGGCTATTATTTGAGCATGTCTATGGTAAAAAAGGGCTAGAACTAATGTACAGTTGACTCCCAACAAAATACAGCCTGTCAAACTTTCTCTGAAAAGGTCTCAACACCAGCTTCATTCTAAGAACTGAGGCCAAAGTGGTCTTTGTTAAAAAAAAGACTAGAGAGAGAACACCTTGAAATAGGTCTCATGTTCTTGCTGCTGCTTCTGCTCTATACTTAGACAAATTAGTTTTTACTTTAAATTATTTTTCTTTCCCCTTATCCTTTTAAGCTAAAGACATTTCAGGTCACACAGTTAAACACTCAAACTTCACATATTTCAATTATTCTAAAATAAAGGCAGCAACCTTCCACTATATTTAAGGTAAAAATGTGAACAATTGGCTTTGACAGCACAGTAGCAACTTCCTTTCAGAATTTTCATAGCCTCTCGTTCTCTTCTCCACCTGTGTTGCTTAAGTCTTCTTGAATTCAATAACCCCTTCCAGTCTTTTGACACAGAGCTGAAATAACACATTTGGCTTGCAAACAGTTAAAGCAGCTTTAAACTCCAAACATGAAAAGAAAAAAAAATCTAGTCATAATTTCAGAGTGACAGTATACATCTCACTTAATGGCTCAGTATTAGATGGCCTACAGTCCAAAGGGGTGGGGGGAGGTGATAAAAAAGAAAGAGACATATTAAAACAATTCCCAATAACAGGAGAGGGGTTAATGGCAGTTTACAGGCAGAGTTTAAAACAGTCAGAAGCAAACTCCAACAACTGCTGCAGATTAAATTATTTCTTCGTTGACTGCAACACGGTCTGGCAGATTAAGCTCATTGAAGCAGCGCACCAAACATGATGCCGATGATAGCAGGACGGACGAATGGAGGTGGCAAAGATGCAAAAACTGCACTCATCATTCGTTTTCTTCTGGGTTCTGGGGATCAATTATTTTGACGTGAGTGAAAGGAAACAGGCCTCTCCGACCATTCACCTCTCCTTCCCACTGGCCACTAATGTTCATCCTTGTCACTTTTACAATATCGCCGACCTGTCAGGGAAAAAAAAACAAAACAAATTAAATAAACTGCACACCCATCGATTTACATCCATTCAGACCTCAATAATGTGTCGTAAGTGTTCTAAAAAGTAATTCTACATGAAACATTTTTTAATGTCTGAACATTTTCAATACCATTTCAGAAGGTTCAGCAGACTTTTCTCCAATGTACAGCGACAGTTTATCATGTTAAATAGATCCTACGTACTTCCTATTTTATAAAAAGTATCAATGTTGTAAAACAAATGCAGATCTACGTTTCCAAAGTGGGGCAAGTTTTATTCGGATTTCCCTGTCAAACCAAACATTTTAGAAGTTGACAAACTAAATCTTACGCCCATGCAATCGAAACTGCAAGGGAAACCAAACCAAAATTCTAATTTAAGCACGTGCAACTTCCCAGTCATCCTGTGTCATAAAAAAAACTCTCTAAAATAAACATTTCCAAAATGGCATTATCTTGCATCCAAGTTTAGCAACAAAACATCAGCTGCCGAAAGTATTCAAGCTACCCAAGACCACACAAACTGTGGAATTTCATTATCCTCTGCGGTTCACATTCAATTACACTTTCCCATACAAAAGGTTAACATGTTGAGATTTTTTTTTTTTAAAGTCCCTAATCGCCATCTCTTATTTCTGAGATATGGTAAAAAGAAAAGCGATTGGAACTGGTTAAATCAAGACAAATACATAATCTGAGGGATCTGTGACTCTTGATATCTAACCTAATCTTTTTTTTGTAATTAGGATCAAAAAGATTGCCTATTTCTAACTGGTTTAGAGAGACATGAAAATCACATTCAATCACAGATTAATACAGCATACACTGATTTAAATAAAGTCTTCAAAATTAAACAAATACATGACGTCTTCAAGCATTACAATATCTAGATCTAAAACATAGGAGTTATCCAAGAAATGTCTTATTTCTCAACATTTCTATTTCACCATCTGAATGTCTGTGGTCACATTTTCATGAGACTATCTTTCAGCTAAGAAGAATGAATCAAAACTATCCATGTTTCAAAAACACTTTCATAACCTCAGCAGTCCACCAACAACTAACCTATTAGCACACAAACATCATAAATTACTTGATATATTCACTTTTACTATAGTGTTCTCTATCTAGTGTTAGGATAGTAAAGCACTACACTGCTGTGCTAGAGGCTCTACCAGGCCTAGCTAGTCACAATAGCTGAGATTATGTAACTGAGTTTCAAACCTAAAAGGGCATTACCTTTCAAACAAACATATACTGTATCAGTTCTCAGATGGAATTAAGACTTTTCTTGGCAATACTGTCCCTAAGTATTGCCATCAAATCAGATCACAAATATTCAATGCTAAATTGAAAGTCATCATGAAAACCTACTGATCAAAACACTTTTCCAGAGGATACTGCTGCCCATTATTAAGAATACATAGCTAAATAAAGACACAAAGTAACTGTACCTCCAAGCAGGGATCAATCAATGAATAGAAAAGACTAAACAAACCTTCTAAGGGGTCATTACAGATATTTCAAACAGAATGCTTAACAAAATACTAATAGTTATAGATGGAAGAGTAAAATGTGAGTATGCACTATCGAAGCATTTGTTAAACAGTGTTTTTGGACCCACTCAATCTTAGTAGAGCATTGAGGGGATTCATATTTTTAACTGCTCCTCCATGAATGAACTCCATTCTGCCAAAACACTGATAAACTCCTGTTCCATTCTGAGCCTAACAGAAATCCCAAGATTAGAACAATCTATGCTAAACCAATACAGCTCAGATAATTAAAATGTGAATACGGAGGAGGATCATCGCAAGTAAGAAAAATGGCACCCCCCTTACATTATGTTGATATTTTGCCTACAATGACTGAATGTCTCCTGTATGACTCCGATACCACCATTCTTAATAATGCTTACATTTTCAGCTGCTGTTACAAAATAACACTTCTAAATACTCATTATTACCTTTAATACCCAACTTCCCAAATACAAAAGTCTGCAAAACAGTTCTATCTTGTAATCAACAAGACAGCATTTATATCATCACCTATATTTAAGATTCCCTATATATAAAGTGACTTTACAGCTCAAAAGCATGGGTATGGCACCACCAACTAACGTCCCTATAGACAGCTACTGGGTCTGTCTGAATACCTGTCAACAGGATGAGCAATTTCCACCATGCACATTTGCTGAAAAAATTCATGTCCTCGGGGGAAACTAGCACAAATACAATATTGTGCTTTCTCAATCTGCTCCCCACACCCATTCTCTGGTATTTCTCCAGGTGAAGCTATACCCTACAGATATTTTCTCCCTTGCTTGCCAAGTACAGCTTCCACTGAATGCTAAGGGTGAGGCTGTCTTAAAAAAAAATCTCTTTAATCTCTTCTTTTGAAGAAGAGACATAAAAAGATCAAGAATTGTGCTGTTAATATGTTTTGGAGATTTGATTAGAGTCGCACCATAAATGTGAAAAAAGTTTGCGAAACTGTCTTAATCATCTAATTCAGGTTCTCTGTCATGTTAGACTAGAATTGTGCTGTATCCAACATGGATGAATGAACAGCACAAGAAGATCGTAGTTTCTTAGAGTGCAGTGTATTATAATCTGTTCACGAAGTGCACTGAAGAATGCTCAGATAAATGACTTTCCACTTACAAGACAGCTGCATCCATGCTAGCTGTTTAATATATAAAGGTATATAGTAATTTTAGACGTGCACATGAAGATCATTTATTTCCACCAAATTAGATTCTCGAGTTTATCCCCTGAATAGCATGAGCAATGATGTGTCGGTCTTTTTGCACCCAATTACACCTTCTATTTCTGAGTGCATTTTCATTATCGTGAACAGCAACCTAATTTGCACATTCGCTCAGGGGAATGAACACAAATGGAGCTAGTGAAAAGAAAAGAAAAAAAATCCAAACTAACACTCTAAATGGAACATGTTAAAGCTTTCCCTAATTAGACTTTGCTGTCATTTTAATAGTTGAAGCCTTAAAACTGTACGTAGTTTACAGCATGGCTGAAATCAGTGCAATCACAGTCCACACTCAAGTTTAATATCAAACATGACATAGATGTTATACATCAAAACAAAGCAGAAAAGGCAAAGATTCATGAAAAGTGGTGCAATTAGCAGCAAGAGCAATGTCAAATTGTTATGGGTGAAAATAAGTTCATTAAGAACGGGGTACATCATTAAGAACAGAGAAATGCAGATCCTACCTCTAGTGCCAGGGCAGTCTTGTCATAAGCACAAGGCACACGTTTCTGGATGGCTTTAGCCATTACAGGTCCATTCTGTGTGGAGGGCAAGGGGTTGATGACTGCGCCTGGGGTGGTAGGGGGGAGAGGGGAGGGTGTCTGAGGCTGGGCGTAGGCGTGGGCAGGCTCAGGGATGCCATAGCTGTTTGAATTCCTGTTGCCATGGAACTGGTGCTGATGTGGCGATGGTCTAACCAGCTTCTCTACGTAAGGCACAGGGATCATGCCCACTCGTCCCTCCTTGTTCCTGGCGCTCCACCACTGCTCCTCGGGTTTCTCCAAGATAACCAAGATCTCCCCCTTCTTGAAGGGCAAGTCCTCGGCATCGCTCCCGGTGAAGTCATACAGAGTCCGAACATACTCCAGATTCTCCTCGGGCTGTCCCACGGGCGCGGGACTGGTCCCAACAGACGGATTTGGGTATCTGAAAAGAGCAACGCACACATGACCCACTTCAACCCAAAAACAACCGTCGGGAACACAAAGCAACTCAATTAACAGTTTCGTCTCTTCAATGGTACCATCGGAACAAAGATTTTACAAAATGGTAGAAAACTGCTCTAGAAATAATTCCTGCGGCTTTGTTTAATACAAACCAAGGGGATTAAAAACCCCAGGGCATTCCTTGAAGAGCAGGGGTGTTAACCCTGGTGTTCTGGCACAATTTCCACCTGGTCTTGACCAATCATTTATTATTTCTTAAAACAGATCTATGCTTGTTTAATTGCTAAAGTGCGTAAAATCTAAGAAAACAAAGTTAAAAGTCTCAAAATCAAGCCCCAAAGTGCTCATTTTCAAATTGAGCAGACAATTTGAAAATGAAACCCCAACTGGTCATGTCACCTAAGGACTCTTCATAATGTTCTGCACTGCCTCTAACAGGTTATTTGAACTAAGACTGGCTTCGAACTACAGAGTAACAGGTAAGAGAAACAAGAGGAGCCCACAAAGTAATATATCTCATGGGGTTTCTGTCTGCAACATGTAATACTAGTTGCTGTCACAACACCAGCTTCACTGATTTCCTGGTATCCTTTCCTTATTTACAGATATACAAGCTAAAAGTTCCCCCAATGTTTCCGACAAAACCTACACCCCCTCAAGCAAACCAAGCACTTCTCACTAAATTTGAGAGCTCGCGTTCAACGCAATATCACACTATTCTAGTGAGCGAACAGTAGTTTTATTCTTGGTCCATCTTCAGCATATCCCCCAAACAATGCAACTTATTTCTTTTATTTCTGGCGGGGGGGGTGGGGGTAGAAGATCAAAGACCACATTAACGAGCCCGTCCAGCAAGCGAGCCCGAAAGGGCGATAGTTCCTTCTCGCCTCTCGATTCAAAATAAAACGGAAGTTGAGCACCCGAGAGCAAGTAAGGGGAAGAACTGACCAGAAAGGCTTCCAGGCAAAGCACTAGGTTTACACACAGACACACACAAAAACCAACACTAAACCCCCTCAACAGATAATAAAAAGAAAAACAGGAAATCGATGTTCACAGCCCGCACACAAATGCGTTCACCCTCCTCCTCCTCCTCGCTGCAGCCGCAGACCCCAACCCGATGGCACCCACCTCGGAGCCGGCTCGATCAGCGTCGTGGTGTCCAGGTAATGGATTTTGTAAAACTCCAGCAGGGCCGGCAGGTGCTCGAACTCCTGGTCGCCGATCTTGAACTTCTTGTTGGGCAGCGAGTTGATGATGTAGTGGGACACCTTGGAGTTCTCGGACACCGACAGCACGTAGTCCCCCGGGCACGTCGAGGAGTCCCGCACCAGGAACATGCCGTGCCTCTGCCCCTGCAGTCTGTTCTGCGCCTCCTGCCGCGACACCGGCCCGAAATACCAACTGGACCGGTCCGAGGGGTCGAACCGCGCGTTGGACATGGCGGGGCGGACTCGAGACGGGATCCAAATGATTAAGAACAAAAAAAATCAATAAAAAACGTCCGTTTTTTTTTTGGGGGGGGTGGGTTGGAAACGCCTAGTTTTGTTGAGAGCTCAAGGGCGAGTTTTCACCCACCCCGATCGCGGCACGAAGTTTTAAAACGATGGCAGCCCCGACCGGCAACGCCGATTTCCTCCCTGACGTTTCACAAGAGAGCTCTAGCTACGAGGCCGACTTGGACACATTATAATGCCGCCTTTTTCCACCGCCCGCTATGTCAACGACCTAGAAAAGGGCCCAAGCAGCAGGAAGGAGCGCCCGCTTTCTGGCAGCTCTTTAAGAAGCGCTCAACCATCTGCCGAAACAATGTTCTTCAGCCGCCGCTGCCAGTCCGTTGAACTAACGGGAAATATTATTGTACCGAACTGTCCCCCATCTTGCTCAACGGCGTTACGACTACGGCCCCGGCTCAACCCCGCAGATTTGCCGGCAATAATCAGCTCCCGAGACGGAGGGAGGGTGGGGGAACAACAAGGCTGGGGGGGTCTCTCTCTGTCTCTCTCTTTCGACTCCGGTACAGAGTTTCCAAAAGCAGGCTGACGAAAATGGCGGCCTTCGCGCACGTCTCCCGAAAAGCAAAATGAATTGTGCTGCAGAACAGCCCGTCTCCAGCCTCTCGGGTGTCACCAATCCCCCCCCACTCGGCAGCGGATCTCGACGCTTTCGGATTTTTTTTTAAAACAAAAAAAAAACCCCACACAAAACGGACGAACGCGGGTAGGCCCTTACTCAGGTACGTTTTCGCGGCTCCCCCACTTCACCCTGTTGATACAGGAATCCGCCTGCCTGCCTCACACAGCCCGACTCAGAAATGGCGGCGGGGAGGGCGGGTCCGCGCGCTCCCAGCTCTACCCCGCGCGCAGGTGACGCGGCTTCTGCCTCCTCGCGCACCAAAGAGGAAGCGGAGAGGAGGGGGGGGGGCAGGCTCGAGCGCCCGTGCGGAGCCGTCGTGAACGGTCGCGGGTTGTTGTTTTTTTTTCGTGTTTGTTTGTTGTTGTTGTTGTTGTTGCTGCTTTTTAGGTCTACAGCGGGGTCCTTTCAAAAGCAGACATTATAAAAAGGCACCATCCTCGCCGGAAAAAAATAAATAAAAACAACCCCCCCAAAAAAATCGTCTCGCAGTTTGTAGACCAAAGTCAGCCAAGCCAAACCACTTAAATCGGGCCACGACGTGTCTTGTAAGGGGGCACCTACGTTTAATCAGAACATTAAAAGGCGCAATGTCGGTATCTTGAGACGTAAACGCACATCGTCTCGCTTAGATTTGACAGAATTTATGAAATGCGCAGGCAACGGTTCTGTACGACGCTGCACCGCTGGCCTGTAGTAGGTTTCTCACCCCTCCGGGGAACTGCTCGACCCCCTGGCGCTCATCTGCGGGCATTGTGCAATCGCACCATTGAGCATGCACGTTGGTGATAACCATCTCTTAAAAATTGTTCAAATAAGTGCTAACGCCAAAGACAGCTTTATGGCGGCAGTTTATACAGTACATCAGTACATTTACAGCGACAGCATGAAAAAAAACGTCCACTTTAATGCCTTTACCGTTCATATTTTGGGGGTTGTGAAAATACAAGCAGAAATGACCAGCACACTACACACATGCAAATGCAAATAATTATTTTTTTCCTTTAGCATATACATATAGGGACAGACTTTGAGGTTTCCACTCCCTGTTTAAACCTGCCAGCCAGACCGCAGAAATCTGCCACATCCTAAAGGTATTTTTAAAAGCAAAACATCCACTACCAACATCTCACACAGTTTGGAGCTCTATAAACATTAGATTTGAATCGTGTAAGACATTTCATTTCTTGTGAAGAACTCTGTGAAGATGGCTTTTGTGGAGATTTTGTTCCCTGCCTTGGAGACATTGGCAGGACGGTTATCCAGAGCACAGGTCTCCACAGTTGCAGTGTAATTGTGTTCAGAAATGAGTGCCTCGGCATTGGGATGCAGGAGACATACCGAAACCCCTCCTAAGTGCGTCGCTGATGAAGGGGATTGACAGAGAATGTCAGTTGTTTGTTGAGAGAGCTCCAGCATAACACTGTGGCCTAAAGCCAGAGATCCCCATTTCCTCATCTGTGCTGGGAATTCAAAGAAGGGGTTGGAAGAATTCACTTTTCCTACGAGGCTGGAAAAACAGGCTTTGAGTGTCTGGGTTGCATAAAAAGCCACTGGAACGCGGCCTAGCTTTTCACAGAGACCCAGTCTGGACGAATATAAATGGTTTTGCACCCACTGGTTCGTATTGGCGGACGCGTGCCAATTTCTCACATAACTCCCTGAGAGAGAGGACGAGTGCAAATTATCGATGTGCAAAAATGGAAATTTAGTATTACTTACAATTTTGGAAGAGTGTACTTTAGCAATAATATGCCACGCATTGCATGCGTAACATATAAAGATGCTTTTTGCATTAATACACAAATTAGCTTACATTTCAATCTTTCTAAAAGCATAATGTTTGAGTAAGAAAGATATATTTTTAATTTAGATGAACATCGATTATAAAAGAGGATGTTGCAACATGACAAGCTATAAACAGAATGGCTGTGTTTGCTCTAAAATGACAACGTGGATTGATTCTGTATGTATTTTAATCTTTTAATGCTCCAGGGTGAAAAGAATAAGCCTGCCTCTTTATATAATAAAAGAGGGTGAATTTATACAGTACTAATCTTCTCACATTAGTGTCTTCAGATCATCACTTTTTGTCAAGCCAGAGTATTGATCTGCTTCAGACTTTAATATGGTTTTTAGATATTAAAGTACCTACTTATATTAACTCAGATTTTCTTTCCAAAATGTACAGTATTTGAAATACATGCTTTCATTCACTATAGTGGAAATGCACTGAACTACACAACTGATTTTAATCACATAAGTTAATTTTATTTAAAAACATTTATAAAACATCTTGAAAACTGAAATATATGTTTGTATTTGCAGTAAAAATATTAAATGTAAAATGACATGATAAAACATCAGAGTACACAAAACACTTTTATAAGAATCACACAAAATAATGAAGCTGCAGAAATACTGTGAAGTTTTACATTTTTAAAATATGTAGCTTTAAAGACCTGTAAAGAAGCTATATCCCTATACAAACAGAAACCCATCACCAGTGCTCCTTCTATCATTAAGAGAGGTTTTTGTGGCTACACTCTTATTTTAAACCAAGTTTATCCAACACCCCTGTAAAGATAAGTAACACTTTATTGAACAATTGCAAATTCACGTGTGATTCATTACACAGTTGTAATCTGAAATAAACACCTTTAAAATTCTGTAACAATATATTATTTTTAAATTCCCGTGGAATTATAATGTGTCAATGTCAATAATGGGAATACAATAGAGTGTATCTGCTGTTTCAAGAATCATTTGCAAGCACTGAAATAAAAAAAAAGTTTTTTTTATACTTTTAATAGACTATTGAGGATGGGGACAGTTTTTCCACTTAAATCCTTTTCACAAAACTGAAATGAGACTTTTTCATGATGCAGGTCTTGGCCGTGTTGATCCTTGTGACATGAGTACCTGTAGGACTCTTTTTTAGTTTGACTTGTAGATTCTTAATTAAACCCTTAATAGTTTTCTACCCCTAACAATTAGCAGTTTGCAAGTTAGGTATGAGGAGTTATATATAGTATATATTACACTAGTTTTGAGTTTCACCTGATCATGGGGCAGAATTTGTAAAAAAAAAAGTAGGCCGTAACCTAGATTGTTTCCCTGTGGAAATCTGTGCTAATGCCATCCATGATAAGTGGGTGAGAGGCTCTGGAGATAAAAATTAAAAAATGTAGCACGCACATATAAACATAATACTTCTTCCTTCTTCCCGCTGAGCACGACAGAACTCCCTCATGCCTACATTTTTTTCTGTATTTCAATAGCAAAGGAGAAGTTCAAGGTGAAGTGTCTCAGGGATAAAATTGGGAAACACTTAGATAATTAAAGACAAAATGACTGATAAATTAATATTTCACTCAGGTTTCACCAAGGAAGAAATAGACAACATACCTCAGGATGAGAAGAGACAAAACCGCATACTAAACAGCATTAGCATAGAAATGCAGGCATGTTACAGCTACTAGAAACAATTAAGATACATCTTCAGTGTTCTACTACTCCTACTTAAGGAAACAAGAGATGCTATTCATAGTCCATTAACAAAGCTCTCACTGCAGTCTCTAGAGATGGGATGCAGCACTCATCCATGAAAAAAGTGACAAAATCAAACCAAGGCATCACAGACCAATGAATCTTAAATCCGACTACATGAAAGGTAATGAAAACCATAAGAACTACACCAGAGGGTCATCTGAATGGAAATTTAATTCTACAGTGCAGTCAACATTGATTTGGAAGCAGCAGGTTTTGTATAACTTGTTAGAATCCTTTTTGATAAAAAAATATTCATAATTTATACAGATAGAGCATATGAATGGCAAAGTACTGTCCCACTCTGGCAGGCTAAAAAGTGCTTTTTCGTCTTGACCAAAGAAACATGATTCGAGTTTTGAAAATCTTCAGATGTCATTCTTCCATGGAGTAAACAGTGAAACATTAGCCAGAGGACAAAAGTGGAAACTACAGGAAAAGGTTGTTCCAGACTCCCACAAGTGACCCAACCATGTTTTTTTAAGATGATACAAAATAACAGGATTAGATCCCCTCATCACCTAGGGTACAACCACTATATAAGCAGGTATTGTATAAGGATATTAAAATAAGAAGTTTATTTGTCATTTGCACACAACATGGATACACAACAGTTAGTCAAACCTCTCCGACAGCATCATTTGTTCTTATATCACTTAACAATGGGACGCTCCCTTCTGTAGTGGAATGACTACTGCAGCTACACTAAAATCTATAAAGCAGCAATAAGTGTAAAGCAGTCAGGGAATAAAGTGATTCTGGAAGAAAAAAGGTACAGAATGTCTTCTTGACTTGAACCCTAACATTAACAGCCCATAAAGCTTCTTGGTGCAGAGCCCATTGTTGTGACAGTTCTAACCAATTATCACACAAATGCATAATCCTCTTTACAGTTACTATTTGGCTCTGGCATTCAGAATCTGATTTGACCAGTGCAGTTCATTGCCGCTGCCAGAAACTGAGATTGTATCATCGTAAGCATTCTGCTGGGTAGAGGAAACTGGTTACATAATTTTACTGTATGGGAAGATTCTGTTTGGTAACAGGAAGCAGGCAGTTTAAAAATCAATCCCCAGACTTTCCTGGTGAAACAAAATCTATTTTAAGAATTCTCTGATGACGGCTGCATGTTGTTGTCAGCAATCTTGTTTAAACAACTAATGACTCAGACACTTAAGCAATTAACTATTATTTCTGTGAACATTTAACATGCAGCCGCCTTTATCTGCCTCTGTAATACACTATAGGTACACAGCTCATCTAAAGATATGCGTGTAAGAATGAGTCATTAGTCACATACAGTACACACTGGAAATGTCAGATTATCCACAACACAGAAATTTAGTCTACTAGAAAAAACACACAACGTCCATTTTGGTTAAAGCTGTTGTACAGTATTTATTGACCCTCCACAGAAAGATAATGTGCATTTAAAAGGAAACAGCTTTTTTTTTTATTTTAAACCTTCCATGCGTGAAACAGAAATCTGAAGAACCAATGCAAAAAAACTGTTTTTCTACGTAGAAAAATCAGTCACTTAAAAACTGGAAAGAGCAGAACATTATATGAGATCGTCACATAATCCTGGTAGGTTCTGAAATGTCAATGATATGAAATTAAGCCAGAACCTGAGACAAACATGGTTCATCTGATAATTTGTGGTAGACCCATACACGGTCCTCAGAAGACTCAATCAATTCAAATATGGAGTGTAAGTTATTCTAGTAGCGTTTTGTCCCATTCTATGTCAACGCACAAGGCACAAAGAGGTTAGTTTCACTGAAGCGACACCAATGAAAACAGGCAGTCCTCTCTACTTGTTTAGAATGGAGTCTTTTTTTAAATAGATTCACTTCTGTAATCATCCTTCAGCTAGCAGTCACTCTGGCCTGAGCAAGAATCCAGTGTCATCCGGGAATCACCTTTTGACAAGAGGGAAGCTGTCTCAAAGGAGGAATTACAGAAGAGACTGTGAAGCGAAGGCCTATATTCTTTACATTAATATTTTAGTTTCTGCCCAATAATCTCACTAGGTAGAAATGTGTGTAAAGATTTGTTACGAAGAGGTCTTTTTTACAAGCTTACATAATGGCTCCTTCACTTTTTTCATATTGCACATAAGTAGATACTGGGGTACAAGTCTGAATTATAAAATGTTCTTGCATGCTAACTTAGATACTTGTAAATCATTAACCAGAACAACAAAGAAACAAAGAACAAAATAAGAAGACATGAAGTGTGTGACAAAATACATTTTTCCTGCGTTAGCAAAAAGAGTCTATTTTGTAATAAACCTCTTTCATGCATTTTATCATGTTATCCTTCAGACCTGTTAAGTTTACTTGTGTACAAAATTCCAATACAGTAGAACAATGACTCTGGCAACTAGGTGATAACCCTGTACTTGAATGTAATTATAATGTCAATCCTACAATAGGCTTAAGAAAATCCATCTGCAAACTCTAGAAGATGTTATTTTGATACTTAATGCTGCAGACACTTTTATATAATTCATTACAATTTGAATATTAATTTTTAGATTCACATTTAAAAGTACCAGTTTTATACCGGCCTGCTTTGCTGTGTATTCTGTGCTGTAGATGCCGATATCTGGAGGAACAGTTCGAAGCCACGCTTGAACTGTCTTGACCATCAGTTGGTTGTCTCTCCTCATAAACAGCAAGAATTAAAACACAAATGGGCATTAAGGACCACTTCCGTAGAACACCCGTATAAAAAGCAATTGAATATCTACTAAAAATTGCAGCAGGAGCACAGCAAACATGATCATGGGGGCTGTAGTCTCCTGTTTCATGCATCCTCTAATTCCTAGGAAATACCTGACTGGACAAATTCATGAACCAGATGTAATCAACTTAACTTAGATCTTTAGCAGTTTGCAAGGTTTTCATAATCTGAACAAAACAGAAAGCTTGGCTCTTGGTTTATTACATTCATTTTCAGCTGGCTATTTTTTGTTATGTCGGCGCAATATTGATGAAGCTGATAGGTGGCTCATAAATGCAACCAAAAAGATTTTCACCGTGTCATGCGAGAAAGAACGCCAAAGTGCTTCGATCAACCCTGGAAACCCCTTTCATCTCCGAGTGGCTTTCGAAAAGAAAGCACGGTTTGACTCAGTCCTCGCTGGAGTTGTCCGAAACCTCAAAGTCCTCCAGACTCAGGACGTCCTCCCAGATGTTTTTCATCCCGCGATGCTCTGAGGGGCAGCTGTCCGTCTCCGTGACGACGGAGCGGGGCAGCAGGAGGACGCAGGTCGCCAAGCCGGAGATTCGGTCCTCAAAGGGGGGCCCGGCCTCCCAGCGGTCGGTCTTGGGGTCATACACGTGGACATAATCCATGCGGCTGTTCTTGTTATGTGAGCGGCCGCCCACAACATATATCCGGCTGTCCAGCACCACAACGCCAGGCTCTCCGTGGCCAGAGGGCAGAGGACTCACTGTTGACCAGTTGTCAGTCTCAGGGTTGTAACAAGCCACCTGCAGCAAGAGTAGCGTTATAGCTTGTGCTTTCGCCAGACAGCGAAACCAGTCATACTCTACTCTCCTCTCATTGCGGTTTTTAACCATTTCACCTCTCAAGAGTACCCGCTCTGCTGAGCCCACGCCATGGATACCTCATGCTTGCTCCTGTACTTTGAATAAACCTGTACACAGATAAGACAGGTCCATGAACAAGACAAGAATGCTTGCTTGCTTCACAAGACCATCTCAAGTTGCTGTGCAGCAGAGACGCTCGTTGTTGCCCTGGAATTCACTTCCAGAACATGCGAACACAGAAAAGAATAACTTCCAAAGCTTCTCAATTCAAACTTTGCTTCAAAAATGCATTCAAAAAGTTCTATTGAGCTGAGAGCTATATAGACCGGTATTGGGGCGCAGTGGTTAGTACTGCTGCCTCACAGCACTTGGGCCCTGGGTTCAATTTGTGGGGTGCTGTCTGAGGAGTTTGCGTGTTCTCCCCGTGTTCATGCGAGTTTCCTCTGGGTGCTCTGGTTTCCTCCCACAGTCCAAAGATACCGACAGGTTAATTGGCTTCTGTACCAAAACCGGCCCTGTTGTAGGTATGGATGTGTGTTTGTGAGGCCCAGTGATGGACTGGCATCACATCCATGGTGTCTCCCACAACTCTGTACTAGATAAAGCAGGTGAAGAAATCGATGGATTATAATTACGTATATAATTTTTTCTATGTCTGCATTCTAGAATCTCGCTTCAGGGGAACTGAATCCTGCATAGCTTCAAAAACCACCAGGTACATGCATCTTAATTATCTTTACAATCAGCTAAGATTTCGCTCATTCTTCTTCCATTTCTCGCCACCACAAATGATCTTTTGTTCTCCGATATATTCACATATTTTCCCGCATATCCGAGAGCAGGCTCGCGTCTGGAGAAGGCATTTCATACTGGACTCAAGGAAACGGCGCAGGCACCTTCAAGACGTCGCGGCGGTAGCCCCTGTCGTCGTTGCTGCCCCCGATGACGTACACCCTGCTGTTCGCCGCCGCCATGCCGTGCCAAGCGCGTCCCAAGGGGCCGTCTGCCCGGCTCTCCCACTGGTTGGCCCCAGGGTCATAGCACCAGGTCTCCTTCAGGTAGGCAGGTCCCCTTCGCCCGCAGCCGATGTACATCTTCCCATCCAGCACTGCTCCAGCATGGGCATAAACCTGGACAGGCCACAGAACCCCAGTGCACCATCACGTCAAAGGTGCTGACAGACGTGCACTGTATTCGACGCAAGACACAAGAGCACAAAATGGAGCAGGTGGCACAGTGCAACATCTCGATGCTCGGGCTTATGAGCCATACGGTGCCCGAGGAAGACGCTCCTGTAGGTGGCCGATTTGTGCACCAAGGACATGAAACTGTTGTGGGAAACCAAAACTATTCCAGTACGGCTGCAGGCACTCGTTCAATTAGACTGAGCACTTGCAGCAGTGACAACTCCCAACCACATAAAACTAAAGTGTCATGCCCAGAAGCCGACAGACTGTAACCACATCAAAATCACAAATTCTGACAAGAATGTTGAGAATGTAAGGCTCAACACCTTGTGTTGCATTCTTACCATAGTTGCAAAAAAATCAACTTGTCATAACACTCGTGTAGACAAATCTAGAAATATAAGTTATTCGTTTTCAAATAAGTAACATTTAAATGGGTCATATAAACCTATTATTAATCAACTTTCCTTACTTGTTAGGTTGCAAAGATGTTTTGTTCTGATAAATGTTAATACAGTCCTTTTTCAATGAACAAACATACAGCAGAGAAAGACCTTATGACTTCTGGTGCTGATAGAGCCAATCTAATTATGTAGCCGCTTAGAACATCTACATTCCCAATAAAGAAAACCAGCAATCACTGATTGATACTTGTAACTAAATGAAATATTAATAATGAGTTTTTTGTTTTTCCTGTTACTTGACTCCTGAACGGGTGGTCACATCCAAAAATGGATGCGGTCCATTCAGGAAGATCAAGCCTTTGAAATGACAGGAGTATGTTTATGTTCAGAAGAAATATTAAAGGGGAACTACAACATTAGTTTTATATTTTGCGGTTAGAAAGAATCAGCCCCGATGAGCGCATTTCTAACCACAATAAAAATGGACACAGTGCCTTTTGAAATGTCCTGGTACGTGTAGCGCCATATTCCGTGATTCAGAATGAAGCAAAACCTTCCATTGGCATGAAGTGGCCCTATTACATTGTAAAGAGGCAGGTTTGCAAATAATTGTCTTTTAATCCAATAGAAACATTGCTCTCTACTTCAACACAGTTTTTCAGATACAAGGAACTTACTTGATCTGCACGCAGATTACACTGGAAACTTTCTGTGGTGAAATATCTGCTGCATAAGCCATTCTTAATTTGCTCGTACATCGCATTCAGTTAGTCATTATAGCTAGCAGGAAGGGCTGCATCATACCACAGTTTGTGGGAACTCTCTCTCCCTCCTCTGGCAAGACCAGGTGTTTGGGACAACATGGTGACTTACAGTACTTTCACAAAGATCATGATTTTGTGCTTAATTGAACATTTGTCATTTTTTTCTGTAGCCGTCAATGAATTTATTTTGTTACCGAGATTTAATAACTAGTCTGAGAAATTGGTACTTAAGTTCCAATTTAATAGATTATATAAACCTTTTAAAGCTGCAATATATGTATATCAAATTCACTTATTCATTTTAAATGAACAATTATAACTCTTGGAAATTACCTTCTTAGTTTCTAAAAGCATCTTAATAACCCCCACAGACACACAAAAAGACTACATATTTGAGTTATCCTTCTCTGGAGGGAGTCAGTAGTGCTCCAAAATATTCTAATTTAGATGTGTAATAAATGTACTACTTATCGTTTATTATGACCTATAATTACCCCTTTAAACAAAATTTTGAAAGAAAGATGTAATAAAATAAGAACTACAAAGGTTAAAAGACAGAAGCTTGTATTTAACGGTGTACGATCCAAATATTTCCTGCAAACGGATCCTTTCTGGAACTTTCTAAATCGTTTAACTTGTATCAGGGTGGCAATGTCTCAGACATGACCAGAAACCTGGAAAGCTAAAGGAGATTTCTGTAACATCATCACCCTCTAGTGGATCTGTGTGTAAACAACTGAGAACATTTTCTTCAGTTTTTGCATTACGAAGTTGAGGATTACTAGCACTTGCTGCCATTTCCTTGCGGTTGTCTTTCCTCATATGTATTCTCAGCACAGAGAGACAAATGGTCAGTCACTTGGTCAGAAATTCATTCTTTCATTTAAAATAAGGTGAGCCATCCCAAACTAGCTCTCTTTGGTTGTTCAGAGCTCACCCTCAAACTAACTAAAAGGAAGAACAATAAGTAGTGATGTTCGGTATGGCTGTGGCCAACAAATATTCTAAAAGAATGGAAATCTGTCGCTGTGCCCTGTTCTGAGAGACCATTTCCACAGTTACAACGGAGAGGGTTCATTTCCCTAGGATCTGGAGTCCCTTTCTTGATTTTTTTTAAAAAAGACAGAGCCTTGTACACATCCTGGATTGCCAATCATTCTGCGATTACTTTTATCATAGATTTTGACTCTATTCTTATTGCAACAAGAAATCTGTCAAAAGGCATCAGCAGGTTTTAGCTGTTTGTTCTTTGTCTGGCTGCTGCTTTTTGTTTTTTTTCTGCGTTTTTATGTATTCTGTGTCATTTTTAGGTTTCTTATTTATTGTTAGTCTTGTTAACATTTCCAAAATTCCTTAAATAAAACACTTGGGGGGGGAGAAAAAAAAAAAGGCGAGCCCTGAAAACACACAACACCCATATGGAAAAGGGCAGCTCAAGGATGTCAGGTCACCTCATGTCTCAGGGGGGCGACGTACTCCCAGGTGTTGCTGTGTGGGTCGTAGCGCTCCACGGCTTTGAGCTCGTCTCTGTAGTCCCTCCCCCCGATGGCGTACAGGTACGCGCCCACCACGCACACGCAATGGTCAGCGTGCTGCTGCTGCAGGGGCTGGATACTCACCCAGCTGTCATGGCAGGGGTCGTACCTGGGCGAGAGGGCGAGCCCAGGGTCACCGGGATACAACACCCGCTCAGCGGAGAGCGCACACAACACACACACACACACACAAAAACAAATCCTAATCAGACACATTCCTGCAATACTTTTCTGGAGGCCAAGCCGTGCGGAATTAAAACTTAATTTTATACCTTCCCCACCACAGCAAGTAAAAGTAAGCTTGTGCTTACTGTCTTAGAATGCACACACTCTCGTGTTTAACAAACTCAAACAGATCAGCAGCATCAGACAAAAGCCTGCGTTCTTAAAAAGAGTGGGCTCTACACTTAAAGCATTTGAGTTCAATATAGCCAAAGGCTTTTCTTAAAATCCTCAAGTTAAAGAATAAAAAAAAAATCACAAAGCTTATTTGGTTGATTTTATACGTTTCATTTCTAAACGTATCAAGTGAAACATAAAATGATTAAATCGTTTTCATTAATCTGATGGCTCATGTGGAGGTATATAGCCTCAGAAAAATAATACTAACAGCAAATGAGTTCAGTGTAGAGTCTAGTTTACAGCCTTGAAGAAATCCTGCAGAGCAGGAACTGTTTCACAACACTCCTGACCATTATTTGAACAGCTGGCTCCCACATCTCGATTTCTTCCTGTCACTATTGATGCCATGTCTGTAGCCTGCACACAGCAAGGTTAGTCATGGTCATTATAGCCAGGGTTGAGGAGTAAAAACATCACTCAATAGACATCACAATCGTCAGACAAGAACACATCCCTGTAGATTCATTATAAACAAGGCAGTGTTATAAGCAGGAAGTGCTGTAACAAAGTTTGTAGGAGTCTCTCCTCTTCTGTGGAGTCCTTTCGTAACAAATGTTTTCATCGATTGATCAAGCACCAGTGTTGATTTCACTATGTACAACTGTCTAGGGCAGCTGAAATGTACTTGCTTTGTCAACTGAGTGGTCATTGTAGGTCAACTACAAAATACAAAAACAATACCCATTCAAGGGGTTGCCAAATCTAACTTACAAAAACGTGGGACACCAAACCCGTTACACAAAAAAGCTGGTTAAGGACCCAGTGTAAAATTGTCTGCACTTAATAGTTGTTACCAACATTTAGCCGATTTTCTGGCTGTAGCTTCAGATTACCTCTTTTCCTAAATAAGTAAGGGTCTGTGACTTGCGATTGTTTTAGTTCTTTTAATGCAATGCTATATTAACGCCTTATTTTTGTAATTGGAGACGAAACATTACATCATCACCTGTTAAGTCATCCATTTATCCATGCGTAAATGCCATCTAACAAATCCTTAGAATTTCACTCCACTACCTCGCCTAATACTGTTCTGAACTTGGCAAGAGAATATGCTTGCTTACTGTGATGTTGTCTGGTACATTTATTTGGCTCTGGCTGCAGTCTATAGTCAATCAATTGCATTATGGTAATAAATGTGCACAGAGGAACAAAGGAGCTTGCGAGACCTCATGGACAGCAGAACAACAATTCAGAAAGAGGGGAGAATGACGTGATTAAAACAATGTTGTTAAGACATGTTAAACTCCGTATTGGGGATTCCACAAAAATACAGGACATTTAATGTCCTGAGAAGTACAGTATAAGAGATCCCCCAGGACAGCCGCCTCAAAAGAGAATAGTCATGTAGAACCTGGACAGACGGTATCCCTGGTCATTAACCCTTTTTGTTTTTTTAAGCCTCATGACCCGAGTGGAAACAGAATAAAGAGATCTTTCTTAGCAGACATCAACACAGTTTGGCAAAAACGAGCCGCCACTCTCACCTCCAGCACCGGGTCTCGGCGCGGAAGCCCCCGGTGTTGTTATCCCCTCCGATGAGATAGACGAAGTTGTTGAGGACGGCGATGCCCTGGTTGGACATGCGCGCGGACTTGGTGGTGGTCAGGTCCCTCCACTCCCCCGCGACGGGGTTCAGGAACTTGACCTCGTTGCTGAGTGTCTCCGAGTGCGAGGAGCGCATGCCCCCGAAGCCCACGATGCACCTGAAGTGGGAGCGCAGCTGCGTCAGGGAGCTCTGCATCACAGGCTGCCACACCTCCTGCTTGTGGTACTGCAGGGCGGCGGCCAGGGTGTCCCGCAGGGGGCAGCGCTTCAGCCGGTCGTGAAGCCGCTGCAGGATCTGCCGCTCCATCAGGCAGAAGCGCACCGCCTCCATCATCTTCAGGGGGTCCTGCGCACAGAAGACCGGCCATGTCACGGACACCTCTTTTCAGCGATCCGCGAGCAAACCACCCTGCCGGTTCGCTTAAGGACCTCAGGGTTCCTAATAGACTGCCTGAGTCAATAATGTGGCAAAAGAGAGGAGCCTCACCAAAAGTAGGTGTGAAGCAGCTAAAATGTTTCCAAAAGCCATGGCATCAGGCTGTGTCCCCCTATTCCTTATCTCACACCCTCGCCCCTAATGCCGTACTGTCCTGATATGCTTCTGCTTGCTCTAAATACCTGCAGCTCCAAGGCATGTTAAATAGAAGCAGAAACAATGCAACACAGAAAAAGATAAAGCGTGGCCGTTCTGCTTACCTGCAGGCACACCTGATCCGTTTCCACTTGCTCAGGAGTGTAATGGTAGTGCAGTGCAGCCTCGTACACTTCGTTCTCAGAGTTGACCTCCAGATCATTGCTTGACAGAATGCTGAACACTTTTTCCTGTGGCAGCTGGCGATAGGCCGCGGTCCTGGAGAAGGTCTGGATGTTCTTTAAGATGTAGGCGTCCACCTTGGCACTCAGTTGGCTCAGGCCAAAGAGGTCTGCCAGCTTGTATACCTCCAAGATGTTGTCTTTGTCCAACCAGGAGAAGAGGAAATCACAGCAGAAGCCAATCACGTCTTGCATCTAGCACTCAGGCACAGGACAAAAACAGGATCACGAACAAGACATCAGGCACAAGACAAAAACAGGGACAGGCAGCTTTTTCTGTACATGGCCTCTGTTCAGCAAAATGCCAAATGCCCATGTGATTTACATCAACAATACAAGCTAACAGCAGGGCGATACAGATTCATTAAACAACTAGGAATTAAAAAATAAAATTAAAAACATTGCATTCGCATTATATAGAACTATGATAAATATTGTTGTCCTGTAAAAAAGCCCAAGCAATCTTGCTTTCACAGTTTAAACCTTGACAAAATCATTACAATTCCTCGCCTGTTAGCTGGATCTTTCAAAGCTGAGTGGCACATAATAAAGTTGTGGTTTAAACTGTCTGCGACGCCAGCTCTGTGACAGATGGAGCTGCGAGTTTCTAAATGAACAGGAAATGGCAGAACTGCAGTAACAGATAGTGAGGATGCTTTGCTACAGATGCAACACAGTGTAAAAAAAACAGACTGGCTGCAAAGTCCTGTGACCAAACAGGTTCTGAAATGTGTGTAAAAGCTCAATAACCCTGAGGAGAATTAGTATAAATACCAAAAATGTGAGTACATACAAGCATATAATGGCAAATTATGAATGTATTTGTGTACAATTGTATACAAGTTGAGATTTTGTATCAGCCCTATTATTTTGATACACTTGGTGTTATGCAAATCAATCATCTGACTGGATGCAAAATGTCTCTTAAATAAGCCTTAACTGGAACAGAAGCACACACTGCAGCAATGGACAAGCACTTCAAAAACAGCTGTGTTCTAACTTGGGTACACATGCAAATTACATAATGTTGTATTTAGACAACGAAACATACAGTCCATCATATGGATCTATATTTCATACTGAAGGGCAATATGCCACACTTCACACCAAAACCATTCTTACAAGGATATCCAGCAAAAAGCATAGCACATTTAGACCTCTGTCCAACCTAAATGATAACCTAAGCCTTATTCTTATAATTTTCATATTTTGTTAGACACGTGACCAATTGTCATTTACATAGATGAACTGGAGCTCTATTCATACAGCCAAGAATTCAATGGAGCAGTTTGACTGAAAGACTGTGGTCGAGGATAGAACTGTTGCCTAATCTCATTTCAGCTTCCAGAATTATTTTATTTTTTATCAAGCAAAAACTTTAGTAAGAAGATCAAAGGTGACTGTAGGCATGAAGATTGAAAGAAAAAAACGTTTTTTTTTAAAAAAAACAGGAGTCCACTTGGCTCAGCTAGCTCATATTGATTTCCTCACATCCCTATAAAATATCAATTTTATTTCCCCCAAATTCCTTTGGGCAGCTACCTTTTTAGACAAGCATAAGGGACCAGAGGTCCATCATCTGATCATTATCTATTGCATCATCCATTTTCGAACCACTTTTCCCAACTCAATGTCCCAGAGCCTATCTCAGTGAGCAAAAGGCACACGGCAGGGTACACCCTGAACGGGGAACCCTGAACCCTGAACACCCTGAACCCTGAACGGGACGCCAGTCCATCGCAGGGCAGGCACACAGACCCAAAGTTCCTCACATCAGGGCCAATGTTCCCAGAAGCCAAACAACCTGCTGTACCAGTATGTCTTTGAACTGTGAGAGTACGTTGTTGGTCTATGGGCCCCACAGCTGCTAGGCAGCACCTAACCACTGTGCCACTCCCCACCCCCCTATGTAATTATTATGAATGTGCTTATTTAAGACAGCTCAAGAGAGGAATGGCCCGCAGCAGGCCGTGTCAGGTGGCCCTGGGAGTCTGGGATTCTCACCTGTAGAAGACAAGCAGCTGACAGGACTTCCTGCACATTGTCCACGTCCAGCTCAAGCTCAGAGGTGTAGATGAAATCGAGGAGCTTGGACATAGCTGTGCAGGACACTCCATGGACCTGTATCTCCTTCTCACGCATCTCACGCAGCCCGCCAGCAAACATTCCCCTACAGGGCCAGCGGTGTCAAGAGTCAGGAATCGGACTGCATGGGCACTGCACTTTCAGCAATGCCTGTTATTACAGCTCGAGAGGTCAAACAATGGAAAACAATGAGTTCTGGTTTACTCGGCAGCAGTAAGCTGAGCTTACCAGGCCAGTGCACACAAATGAAGAAAGGGAATCTTCTGAGCAATTACTCTGGTTAATCGCAATCAAGTGAAAACATTCAACCACAGAGAGAGAAAGGAAGAGGAATAGAGAGCAAGAGAGGAAGAGGGGAGAGAAGAGGAACAGCGAGTGAGAAGGGGACCTCGCTCTGATCACCCTCGGAGACCAGGTTCTCACTAAGTACTTTAAGCCTTGTTTAAAGGAGCTTTCCTTCCTTTATTGTAGGGAAGTACGATTTATTTATTTGTGGAAACCTCAGGCTAAAAATGATCTGTCCTAGTTGGTGATGCACTTTTGGAACACAAAGACAGATTTTCCAATAACTTTGGGGCATTCAGATTTTAGGAAAGGGGTTTTAACACTGATGAGTATTAATTTAATTTAGGACAAAGGGTATTTCTCTTATTGGTTTGTTTCAGCATTAAATAGAATTTTAGATTAATTAGCAGTCTGGATTTTCTGAGACTGATAAACATGGCACCTCCTTTTGTAAATGATGTTAATTGTTAAATAAGTATTAATTTCTTAATAATAAACATTCGATTTATTACTCTTTTGCCAGAGCACGTGCCAGAACGCACTTGCCTCAAATCACACCAGCTCCTCAGGTATGTTTTTGACATTTGGGGTTGTTGATTATTTTATTACCCTGCTCTGTTTTCTTAACCCCTGATTTGTAACGCTATTGTAGTGATCTACGTGGTCCCTCTACACAGACCGCCATGTAACCAACAAGCTTCAGCCAAAATAAGAATGAAGAACCTGCTTCTACGAGAGTTTCAGGTAATTCCCGACCGTTCTGAAGAAATAGGCTTCTGCTATAAGCAAGGTTGAGAAAGAGATGCTCAGAAGCTTTGGTTGCAGGACAACGGTCAAATGAATAAAAAAGGACCTCTGACTGTGAAAACGGGATGACTGAGGAAGAGCATCAGGCTCACAAGAAGCGGCCTCACCTGAAGTAGTCGCAGGACGCGGCCAAGAGGATGCGGTGCGCTTGGAGAGGCGTGCCCTCCACCAGCAGGACCACGTCGAACAGCACGGCCCCCTGACGAAGTGCCACCAGCCCCTCCAGCAGGTTCTTGGAATGGGCACTGCTGTGGTAGGTCTTGCGGCTACACTGCCCCTGAGACGGAGACGTCCTGCTGGCTTGAACCAGCTCCCCGTCTTCAGCCATGCCTGCCACCCTCTCTGTCCAGCTCACATCATCTCACGCCCAGCAACACGAGTGCCTGCAGGCGAAGGCACAAGGGGGAACAAGCGCTGGGCATCTCCGTGTAGCCATAGCTTTATGTACTGGATCTGTGACGCCCAAAGAGTAACTGGTAGGAGATTCTGAACACAGGGTTTTCTTTTACTGCTTCCTGGAGAAGAAGGGAAACTCCAGAATCAAGCCTAGAGACTGCAACAAGTATTGTGGATTACCAGGACTCTCCTTCAAGTCACACGCTTATCAGCGTACCTAAGTCCTCAAAGGGCGAAACTTTATAAGGTATTTTTTAATGCGAAAGCATATACATTGATTAACCCTTCGCCAGGAAATCGGCTTTGATCTGTAACAGGCATTTTTTTCAAAACCATAACGTGATATACAACGTTATTAAAACAACTTACCCCCACCCTCGGGGATAATAAAGACTATATATTTTTAAAAAGTGACCGCAAGCTTCTAAATAAAGATTTAAAACAAGGAATAAACCGCTCCATTATTACACTGTTCAGTGCAGATACCCGTAAACCAAACAGTGCATAATACACAGCCTAAACTAATTAGTACATGGTCATAAATAATATTCAAATACTTTACAATGCAGCGCCCTACTTAACCCTACTTCCGAGAAATCATAACCTATTCAAAAAGTAACATACAATACAGGAAACGTATAAGTTGTTCGTTTTTTTACCGCTTTTCCACTTCCAAAACACGGAGACAGCCCCCCAAAAAAACAGTATCACGTGACTCGCAGAGCAACTCACCAGAATTGCGAAATTTTTTTAATGTGGAAACGAAAAACATAAAAACGACAGCAACCCGCTTTTCATCTTCAACGTCAGTGCTTCCGATTCGGTTAAAACTGCAGCGATCGGCGGATACATAAGAAGTGTTTTTTCGCTTTCGCTTGCTTTTCCTCCTCGCTGTGCCTCGACTCTCTGCGCAACCAGCAGCTCCGCGCAGAAGCGGCTTCACAACAACCGACGAGCCGCCCACTGGCAAAGACAAGTGTCTGGAGCCGGAGATAACCCTCCCTGCGCCTGCTACAGCGCCCCCTCTGGCAGGTGCTGGGAAACGCCTGCGAACTGCCGTGAAATGAGCATTGCTGGGAAACGCATACATAGGTCACAAAAAAAAACCGTCTAGGTTGTTAGAGCTGTAAATTATATATTCCTCACCTCCCCCAAACAAATTTGGCCCCAAAATCTACTTACAATATACTTTCTGAAGAGAGAGATATGTTACTACATTGATTGCTACAATGACTACTTTGTAATTCTGAGCAAGTGTAATCTAGAATCTGGAACTGCCACGACTGCTTATAAGTCCTTTTACTTGATATTGTTTTTTCCTTATTATATCCCGTGACATGTCCAATTAAGGCTTATTTAACTGTTCTCTATATTATGCTGATTTTGCTCTGCTATTTTCAGAAGCATTGGAGGGCAATACAACAGCACCAATGAAAGGTGTGTTTTTCATCACTAAAGTTGTGGGGATATATTATTGTATATAGGCTAACAAACTGTATATCATGCCTTATAATTATAAGAAGTAAATGCCAATTGAATGGGCAGTATATAATGATTGAAATGCTGTTGTTGTGATGGGAACGTCATCATTGTGACAAGGGTGTATTGTATTGTAATGTAATAAGGAATTCCTTAAGCTCACAGTATCAAGGCATGTTTTCAGCTTTTGAAGTTAATACTTTTCATTATCTTTCTATCTGCTTGTTGTTGAACAATATTTTCCAGTCCCAGGCCTGGGCTACCTCTTCCAAGGGCGGGGGGAGGTCAGCACCAGCACCAGCTCGTTTCCAGTGTCAGAAATATTTGATTGTGCCTCTGATCCCAGAAAAATCCCAGAACCAGCACTTGCACCATACAGTTGCAGCCGCGCAGACTTTGTCCGCCACACACACAAACTTTTATTGAACCTCGAGTCATACAGAGGAGAAAAGTTATCAAAAGAAAAGTACACACAGCAAATCACTGCCAGGGGTCATTACAAATCAGAACACCATCCAATACGTTTACATTTTTGCACAGATCAATGGTGTTATTTTGTCTTATTGCCCCCCGTTTTTCCGTGAAATGTAATAATATTGCATTTCCATCTAACACGCACGACAGGAGGGAGTCACGTTACACAATTTTGTTTTCGTGAGAGGGATACCCACCCGCCATTACTACTAGATGATTTACCAGAAACAAATGTTCTCCCCACCCCCCCATCCCTGTGGTACATCTTGCGAAGTGTGATGCGATGTGTCCGCTGACTCAGGGCTGCAGCCAGGCTCGCCGGGGCAGAAGCGTGGCGAACGCAGCCCCTCGCAATAACCGGCCACTCCAGGTTTGTGGCGCTCGGGTCCCACAGTGCATTGCGCCCTGTTGGTCTCACACAGGCGAGGCGGATCATGGAGGTGCCGGGGCCGGATAGCGACTGGAGGAGCCTCGCCTTCCGACAGAAAGTAGTCGGACAGATGTAAGATTTGCTTCCCCGTCTGGGCAGCGCGTACCCGAAGTCAGAAATGGGGGCACTGGCTGTGACAGACCGGGCTCCGAGTTCGAGGAGGAGGAGGGGGAGAGTCGCACGCCAAGGCCGTAAATGCAGCCTCGGTGCTGCGTGTAGCGTCGTGCCGGCTGGAGGCGGGGAGACACGGTGGATTGCTCTGCGTTCAGCGGTGCGAGCTGTGATTTGGCCGGGGGCGGCACTCGGGTTTAACGGGTCGTTGTATCGATGCAGCTGTGTACGTACTTAACAACATAGCTTGTTAGTTTTGGTTTGTGTAAAACGTACGATCCGGGGTCGGGGGGAAAAACCAGCATGTTGAAGGCACGGAAGAGTTAAAAAAAAGACGTCAGACACAAAGCCCCGATTTATGCTACAGGAGTTGATTTGCCTGAGTAGAGGGTTTTCTGGTTTACGTTAACTACGATTTCCCATTAAAAGTGCCCAGTAAAAACTCGATTTTTCACACTCGGGTTCGTTGAATGATAAGGTAGCCACGGTAGTTGAATGTATCTGAATGTTGTGTGGCTGCTCTGGAAAAAAAAAAACGGAAAAACCTCATAACGGACGAAAGGATAGTTTGTAACAGGATAGGCTTACTTGTGCTCGTAACCAAAATTTCACATAACGCGTTCGTTATATGCGATACTGGGTCTTATTCTTGCAATGGTTGTGGAGCCACAGACGTTTACCTGTCGCCAAGTTTCTTAAAATATTTTAATCGTTGTGCAGAAACAAATTCAGAAATGTAGATGACAATGCTAAGATTGGAAGTTTCTGAAGCATCGTTCTGTTGCAGTGAAGATGCGATGAGGAAGGCAGGCACCGCTCATGCCAAGACCAGCAACGACATGGAAAATCATGTCTTTATGAAGGCGAAGTCGCGGGTGAGTAAGACTGCGGACTTAAGGCGCTTGCTGTTTAACTTCACTGCTGCACAGAAACGGGTTTTCATTCTCCTCTATCTTTTCAAGGGGAAAGTGTGGT